TATGAATTGAATGTATGTTGGTTTGATTTTACTGTGTGGTTTTACTTCGATTTTTTTTAGAAATGTATTATCATTCCGTTTTAATTGTTTCGAAAGATTAAAGATTTTATTTTATTTTACGAGGCCAGACAATAGATCGCTTGGGTTAGAAAAAAAGCCCACGTCTCCAGTCATTCAAGTTTGGTGAGTTCTGATCTTGAATTTTTAATGATGTTTCGTTTTTTTATTTTCATTTCTGTTGTTGAAAGGTAAATAACATATATTTCTTGTTTGTCTGTGATTATACAGCTGTTTTAGCTCATTCATGTTATCTCTTGAAACTGGTTAGGCAAATAAGGTGAAGAATTTCAGAGAATAAAAAAAAAATTCTTGGTTTTGTCCATATTCTTGAAGCAGCCAGTTATTTGAGTGTGTGTGCAGGTGTATTTTAGTTGATTCTTTACTATTATTTTACTATCATCGTATGCTATAATGAATGGAGAAAGAAAAAAAAAATTAAAGAAGGAAAAAAAAAATTTGCTTCGCACTGTACGGAGCAACTCCGCACGTTTTGTGTGGAGTTGCTCCACAGTATTTTTTTTTTTTACTTTTAGCAATTTATTTTTTTAAAGTAGAAATATGAGATTTTTGATAGAATCTATTAAGTGGTCATCAAATTTGTTGAATCCTAGAAGTTAGATTTCTCTTTCATTTCCTAATTCTATGAAGTTTTCAAATTAAATTGTTTACAAATACCTTTTGGTGATAGAGAATATAGATTAATAATAGTGTATTTTCTTCTGTAAGTTAGAAAACCATAGAGAATTAAATAAATAAATAACTCCTCCACACACTGTGGGGTGCGGAGGGTTTAAGTGAACTCTCCAAACTGTGCAGAGAAGGTTTTTTTTTAGCAATTTTTTTTGAAGTAGACAAAGTTCCAAGTGAACTCTTTGAACTCTTCATAGTGTGCGGAGAGTTCACTTAAACTCTCCGAACTTTGAGGAGGATTTTTTTTATATTTACTCTTAGCAATTTTTTTATTATTTTAGTTTTTTTTCAGTAAAAATATGAAATTTTTGGTGAACTCTTCGAATTGTGCGGAAAGTTCAAGTGAACTCTTTGAACTCTCTGTAGTGTGCGGAGGGTTGTATATTTACTTTTAGCAATTTTTTTATTATTTTAGTTTCATTTTTTTTTAAGTAAAAATATGAAATTTCTGGTAGAATCTATTGAATGATCATCAAATTTGTTGAATCCTAGAAGTTAAATTCCTCTTTGATTTCCTGGTTCTATGAAGTTTTTAAATTAAGTTGTTTACGAATACCTTATGGTGATAGATAATATATATTAATAATAGTATATTTTCCTCTATAAGTTAGAAAATCATAGAGAATTTAAAAAAAAAAAAAATCCTCCGCATAGTTCGGAGAGTCGAAGTCTCCAACTCTCGGAGGGTTGCTTCCGACCCTCCGCACTGTATGGAGAGTTCACGTGAACTCTCCGGACTGTGTGGAGCATTGCTTGCTCCTCAAATTTTATTATTATTATTATTATTTTCATCACTACAAATCCATCTCCAAAACCCCCCTCTCTCTCTCTCTTCATCAGTTCAACTCTTCTCTTCCTATCTCTTTATATATGTTATTTCAAATTCTCTTAATCAATCCAAGGATACAATATTGTTATGACAAGGGCAACAAGATGCTAGTGAAGAAGCTATTAGAGAAAAAGGGTCAAGAAATTTCTCTCCTCTGCATTGTCCCATATTCCAACCATGAAATGTAAAAGAATAAGATTGAAGAAAAATCAAATAAAATGGTTCTTTTGTTGGGATTTTGACTTTCTTTTGGCGAATCCATTTCATAGCATTTCTGGGATGAATTTAAAATTTTTGTTAATTATTTTAAATTTTTCGGTATGACATTTCTTGACATTCTGCTCGATTATGTTTTTGATTTGGTTGCATATTATTGGCTTATATTCTTTGGCAAAAATCATTTGGCAAGTGTTTCCCTATATATGTTTGGGCTTCAGATTTTTTGTAATTTGGGTTTTAGATTGAGTTTGGTTTCATTACATATTATGATCAAAATGTTGCTTCAAAAGAATGAATGTAGCTAGATAAATGTTTGATGAAATGCTTAAGAGAGAGGAGGAGGCTACTGATCATAATGTTTGACTTTTAATTGATCAAAATGTAAAAAATGATTTTTCATTTTTCTCCCTTCTTAACAATAAGATTTTTTTAAAAAAATTTCTTAGCATTGTAAATGGCAATTTGCATGTTAGTTTTAAAGATTCATATGAAGAGCTCTTTAAATTTGGCCGATTTTATCTTCTTAAACATACTAGCTTTTTGTGGTACTTGTTTATAGATTGACTCGTCGAGAGAAATGAAATTGACAGAGAGCAATGAAATGGGCTCAATAATAAGAGAGAGAATGAAATTGGTTCAACTACTGAGAGAGGATGAAAAGCGAATAGCATATAAAAAGAGAATGAATTCACTCATTTATGCTGACTGCGACTTTCATGTCCTGTCTTCTTGTTTTGCTTCATGACTCTATTTCCTCTTTTCAGAATAAATGAACTAATTATGTAGAGACACATATTATACATTTGAAATTCCTTATGTCCGTGCAAAATAACTTTGAAGTCATTCTAGAGCAAATTAAACCACTGCAATGTCTCTATTAGGAATACAATTGTGCAAATTAATATGAATTAAATCTGCATTACATGGGATGTGGATTTATTTACAAATGTTGGTGATTGGTCTAAAGACAATATGTGCAAATACGGTATGCTGTAATACTATATGTTATAGTTAAGATAAAACATATTATACGTATATGCTATAATACAATGTACATCATAATATAATGAGAAATTATTGTTGTACATTTTTTTTTGGGTTGTTGTTATATTACAGCAATATACATATTACAGCATATAGCTTACCGTATATTCTATAATACAATCTGTGCGATCATGCAGTGGCTTTTTTTTTAATTTAATCATGCAACCTAATATTTGTTTAGTTTTTTATTTTATTAGTTAAAAATATGCATTAAATTTAATAAAAAAATATAATTACAAGAATAAGTTTAACTTCAATATAATACAAAAAAGTAATCATTGCTAACAACAAAAGAATCTAAAAAAATAAAGAAGAAAAAAATGAAAAAAGTAAAACTTGTGAAAAGAAGAAAATGAAAGCATGATGCCAAAAAATTTGACATTATTGTTCGAATTAGAAATGCATTATTGATAAACAAAAGACTTTTGCAGTCACCATATTAAAAGTATGGATTATTGTGTTGTGTTAAAATTTTTTTAAATAATAGTGATAATTCTTCTTATTACGCTAATAAAATTACAATAATTTTTTTTTATAAATAGCATAAACAATCATTTTTATTTTCAACAAAAAAACACATTTAAAAATTAACAATTTCAGAATCACTTTTTTTTTATATTCCCGAAAATACAATTATAAAAAAGAAAACAATATTGAATTACAAAAAAATAATATCTGCTAAATACGATATCTAAAGACAATATGTGCAAATACGATATGCTGTATATATGGTATGTTGTAAATACGATATGATGGAAATACAGTATGCTATAAATACGGTGTGCTGCATATACGGTATGATGCGAATATGATATGCTGTAAATACGATATGCTACAAATATGGTATGCGTAAATACGGTATGTTGCATATACGATATGTAAAGTGCATATACAATATGAATGAATCCGGTTTCGTCCACTACAATAAATTTATACCGTATATGCTGTTTATCGTATTTGCAACTTACCATATATGCAGCCTATCGCATTTGCACGCAATTTACCGTATTTACAGTTTATCGTATATGTTACCTACCGTATTTGCAGCTTACCGTATATATCGATTTTTGCACTTACAAATACCGAGAATGCAGAACACCATTCACTTACCAAACCGAATGTCAAAAAAAAATTTCAGATTTTTATTTTTTTAACATAAGTATAAAATAAATATTAAAATATACGAAGGACAAAATATAAAACGCATATGAATGTTCAAGTCAATTTATAATTTTGTGCTCAATCTTCAATTTCCCAATATTACACAAAATTTAGAAATATAATTTTCACATTCAACTCAATCATATCAACACTATCAAAAAATACAGCAAAATAGTTTGTATAATTTCGTATATTTTTTATTCTAGCATATTTTTTCTAAATAACACAATATTGTTGCAATTGTAAAAATAATTTACAATTATTTTCTTATATCATAAAAATATTTTTAGATATTACGTCAAAAATTTTCAAAAAATTAAAATTTATACGTTAATAAAAATACGATAAATACAAATTTCCTGCACCGTGACATAGACTTGTGTTAATATAATTCGTCCAAGTAGCGTAGTGTGCATTTATTGGAAGAATCCAAAAGGCAAGGTGGTAGGTATAAATTGTGGCCGTCCTACGGCGACAGGTACCGAAACATTCCCACCTGGCTCCTCTATTCTATTCACTCAATCACCGCTTGGATCATTGACGGTAGGTAGTTGATAACTGCTTGACGTTTGTCTAGTGTAGGACAGTAGTAGAACATGTAGACGTATAAATTGTTGTAACTAAAATGTTTCTCATTTTCTGATTTTCCTAAATTTCCCCTTTTAACAGATCAGTTTCTCAAAAGGTGATTCCTTACCAGAATCAGGAGTTGCAGTTATAGAGAACAAACTGCTATCAGAAGCAGTGCTGCAGTCTATAATTGGCGAGCACGGTGTTTCCCCTGAAGCAAAACAAAGTTTAGCTGCAAGGCTATCAGAATTCTTCAAAAAATGTTCTTCAGCTAGTCAAGAACTGGAATCCAAGAAGACCACCGTCCCAAAGGGCAGCCAACCGGGAACTCAAAATGCTGTAGCAGCAAATAATCGTTGAGCCAATATGGTATTTCACAGTAAAGTTGTTTGAGCAGTGAGCTTCTTTATCACTTGTGTTTGTGTAATAAACTTCCAACTTTGCTTTTGCTTGTATATAATATTATTATGTGAACAAGTGAAATATCCATCTGTAGACCATGAACAAGAGCTAATATTTAATTATTTATCTACGTAAAATATAAATGGATGCATACGCTCTTAAATGCTAACCGACACCACAAAACTACTGAAACAAGTAATAGACTAACGTACTCATTTACACCAGCAACTTGTCTTTCAACGTCGTGGTTTTTTCTTCATTTCGAGAGCAGAGACTCGAGTGTCTTTGGATTGCCGACAGGAGGACTGCAGGTGAAGTTTTGGCACACAAGAGCTACAACCTTATCAGCAGCAAAGTTGCTTCTAGCCATTGCAGCAATATTTCCGTTAGTCTCCTCCCAAAACCCCCTTTCTTCATCATCGCTGGGATCTATGTGGATCACCTGCACTCAATTGGACCGAACTTCGAGTAAACGGGTTTGATGATAGGAATAAAAGGAAAGCGAGGTGGGTAATGTGTGTAAGTACTCAACTATTCGATTAGGATCGTATGATGCATGCGCGGCAGCTAACATGCTGTCAAATTCTGCAGAAGGCTTACATCCAACCAGGACTACTTGTCTGTGGGAAGACACAGAGTGCATATCTGCAGCACAACACATCAATGGAACAGCCATTGCTGTATCTTTCAACCTCTTCTCAAAAACAGCCTGTAGTGACATAGATCACGCAAGGACAAGAGTAAGCAAGAGAGACGAGATTCCGAGCATGTTCAGCTAAGCTTATAAAAAGTTTTCCTTCGCAAGCATGTTAGAATTATCTTATTTTTAAGTTAAAAAAAAAAAAAATTATGTTAATATTATATTAACTCGTACCTAAGAGCTAACTAGTTAACTTCTTTCTAAATTTGACCAACAAACACAATCATTAATTTTAAATCTTGTTTATTTGCTTATAAGTTGACATTTTAAAAGCATAGCTGAAAATGCTTGCAAACCGCGAAAAGCAGAAATATTTTAACAAAACAAAAGCATACCAGAAGGCGTTCTGCATTGTGCCTGTAGCTATCGGACTTACTGGTGCTGACCAGGGAAGCTAACCTTATAAGGTTGATGACAGAAACACTTTTTGCGGAGGGCTCTGCACCATCATGATCTTCTTTCACTCGAAGGAGAACAGAAGGATCTTCCCCCGGTGTGTTGAAGTAACCTCCGCCCTCTTTATCAAGAAACAGTTCGTCCTGAAAAGAATCAAATTTATAGAGCACGCAAGAACTAAATTCGAAAGGACAAGTTGCTTTTAGATTTTTACTTGCATGTGCTGCAGTTCAATTGCCCATGCTAGCCAAAATACTGAACCACCTAACTCATAAAGATCCAGTAGTCCGGATATCAGAAAGGCGTAGTCGTCCAAAAAACCAGGTGCTTTAGAAGGGCCATTCCTGAAACTGTGTTGCAGCCGGCAAGTTTGCTGATTATAAAGATTTTTTCTAATAAAAGATGCCGCCTTTTCAGCAACTTCCATGTACTCCTCGGACTATGATCCACCAGACAGAAGAGGTTAAGATATTCATTTAGCTATAAAAGAATACAGTAACATGCAAGAACATGAAAACTTAGGGAAGATGAAGCCATATCGTCAAGGATATCAGTGCAAAATCCAGGAGGTTCCTAAGTATGATGCTCCGAACAATTATCATGGTTATCGAATAAGGTCCAAAAACATGCACACACTCACAACAATCAATTAAACTCCTGTAAGAAGCGCCTAAATACGTCGTGTCAGACACACCCTACTATTTTCTTCTCCCTATAACCCGGACGAAGAAATTTGCATCTTTTCCCTTGATTTGATCCTACCTTCGCTTATAACCCCAAGGCAGAGGACGGCATAAAAAGATTCAATGGACAACAGAGACGCGTTGAAATAAAAATAACCAACTGTGAATTCAAATTCCAGAGATTAAAAGCGCTATATAAATCATTTTGCTCATTTGCCATTCTGAAACAAAAACCTTGTGTAAAATGACAATTCCTGATCAACTTATTTCACAAGCCAAAGAAGTGCAGTATCTTACAGTAGTTCCAGTAACAGGAAAATAGAATTTTGTTCCTTCCGGTTCACCCTTCAGAATTTTAGAAGCTCTTGCAAATGAAGAAATTGCAAGTCCATTCCACGACACGATGACCTAGACAACATCAGATGGCTAACATTTCATTTACAATCCAATAAACCCACACAGACACACACTAACATATAAGAGCAAATTATCAATTCCTGTCTACCAAAAAATACCTTATCATCCAAATGTGGCCTCGGGCGTTTTGATCTCATGTCAAATAGCTTTTTTCGACACATCCCCAAAATCTCTAGATACTTCTCAACAGGCATACCAAATTTTGATGCCATTGCAGAATTACTATTTCTCTCTATAAGCACATTTTTACCCTTGAATTCATTGTGAGTATCACTCATACTTGAAAGATCACAGTTACCAGTTGGTTTAATGTAGTAGTGCTCTTTAAATAGATTTGCATGTTCTCCAAGTATGTCTTCAACCTTTCAAGATGAAGAGATTCATCATAAATTAAACAAATAGTGAGGCCCACACATGAAAAGAAACTCCAAAATACATATAATAGTTAGAATTTCAAATCGAAGATCACAAAAAGGAATATAGAACAGAATGGGAAGTGCTTGTCAATCATAGATCAGTGCTAGCTACCATTACTAGAGAGGAGTAATAACAATTCATTATGTAAGGGCAAAGTCTCCTCAACAAAACCAGCAAAAGTAAGAGTACCTCACGACTGGTCCAAACATAAAAAGCACCCTCCTTTTTCTTTGTAGCACCTTCAGATTCTGCACTATCAGCATCTTCCGCCGAAAAGATTTCACCATTAGGACCAATCATATCTCTCCTTAGATAATCGAGAATATCCCGGGACATGGTAGAATAGAACACATCTTTTGTGATGGAAAAGACATCAAGATAGACATTAGCAAGTTGCCCTTGGTCATACAACATCTTCTCAAAATGTGGTACTGCAAGGAAATTGGGTTCTCTTGACAACTCAGTTAATGCAATAAGTAAACATCCACCAGTGTTGGTTTAATAGACCTACTAAATGAGGCGGACTAACCATGCCAACATTCATCCACACTGTATCTGTGGAAACCACCACCAACGTGATCGTGAATACCACCCCTGGCCATGCATTGTAATGTAATGGTCACCATGCTTAAATCTTCATTAGCTCCATTCAATTTCTCTGCCTCCTTTAACTTCTTTGAATGATAAAGCATCAACTGGACCTCAACTGGTCGAGGGAATTTTGGTGCAGAACCAAACCCACCATACTTAGAATCGAAACTGTCAGCAAGCTATAAAAAAAATTAAACAAAAAATTAGATACAAGTAAACTCTATGAAGCATTAGAAATTTTAATAGTGGTAACCGTATCATGGCAAGGATTTAATTGGTTATGTAGCCTACTCTTGAGAAGCTAAATTACAATTACGAAACAAATAGAACATAAAAGAACAAAGCCCTTTTAATTTTAATTTTCTGAATAAAACAATGCAGAAAAAGATGGCAGTGTCAATCAGCCGAAGGAAAATTTTCCATGCAGTTTCAAAAAGTATGTCTTCAAATCCAACTTCAAAAAATCAATATATCGTGTTCGATGATAGCAATAAATATTTAACCTCAGCAAAATTTACCTTTTCAGCACATAGCTTCAATGCCCTTTGTGGAACCCCATCTGGTAGCCTATCTAGTCTCGCAGCAGTAGATAATGCTTCTGATAATTGCTCTATTGCAAAAGACCCACTTTGTACAAGTAAATCTCTCTTAAGGTCCCAAGCTTCCTTCACCTTCCTGAAAGATAAAAATGCTAATGGGCTCAATCAGGGATAAGATTGGTGTACCATCAACCTCAACCTCAAACAAGAACTACATATTCATGGAAGGCATTACCTGAGTATGGATTTAAATCCAGGCCTTCCATATTTATCCTCTGGAGGAAAGTACGTCCCACCCATCAATGGCTTTAGATCAGGTGAAAGGAAGACACTGAGTGGCCAACCACCACCACCATATAAAGCTTGCACATATGTCATGTACACCTGGAGAGTAATGAAAGCTCTCGGACCTCAGCAAAGCACAAGATTATATACAAGAAATTGATTTTGGCGATAAAAATGGCAGGATAATTTCAAGGTTCTATTATACCTTTTCTAACCGATGCCTGCATTCAACAAGGGAAAATACCAAGCCAATTACTTTTTAAAAAATGTATTTAGCACTAGTAGAGAAGTAACAAGTTTTCTTTTATTAGGCCTCACAAAAACCTATTCCCGCACCACTGCTTCAATGAATGAGCAGAAGAGCGTAAATATGAATTCAGAAAAAAAAAAAATGTCCAGATTAATAAGAAACAATTTCGAGCAAGAAATTAAGCCCTTGTTTGACAACCATTATTTGAAAACTTTTTTTTTACATACTCATTTTTAGCCATACATTCACACAATAAAATATTCTTCACGTAAACACAAAACCTTTTCCTACTTTTTAACCACACATTCTCCTAGAAATCACTATTCATTACTTTTTTTTTTCTAAACAATGGTTGTCAAAGCTAAATTGATAAAGCGTTCATACTACATTTAAGAAAATAATGTTGCAAGATGAAAACAAATGATATAACCTCCTTGCTGATACTAGGATGCAAAGCATACCTTATCAACGTCTGGTCTTTCTTCTCGATCGACCTGCCAAGGGAACTTGTTAAATCATTCACACTACATTTAAGAAAATAAATGAGCTTCTTGGATTATAAGCAGCTCACCTTGATACTAACAAACCAATCATTGAGCAATTTGGCAACTTCTTCATTCTCAAAAGATTCGACCTCCATTACATGACACCTTAATTGATTAAACATTGTCCACAAAAAAAACAATCTTTAGCCATTTCAATATTTATACAGCTCCAAAAGTAAATCAATTTTAGAAAAATGATAAAAGTCATACCAATGGCATGTGCTATACCCAACTTCAAATAAATGAAACCGCATTATCGCATAAATCCAATTAGCAAAAGCATACGAAAAGGAAATCGAGTCAATTGAATTCCAAGGATTAAAAATAATAATAATAAATAAAAATAAAATTGAAGATGAAAGGGTCAAAGGGGGTTTTAACGTTAGTTGGAAAAATTGGAATATACTTGACAGGAAAATGGGCACATCTCTTCTAAGAGCTTCAGAAAATGCGTCTTCACCCCACGGATACCAATCAACCTTTTCAAAAAAATTGAAAAAAAAAAAAAATTGCTTTACCAAATTTCTAAGCAGGTGATAGCTCAAGAATTTTTAACGTTTCGGCATACATACAGGATTATGTGCATGTTGAAGAAGGTAGGGACTATGTTCAGCCGCAAGACGATTTCTATGGTTGTAGGTCTTCGACGACGACGTTTCTGAGGTATGTTCCGCCATGGCCAAGACTCTAGAAATTGAATACGCCGACAGAAAACGGTCGACAAAGGCCAAGTAACTGACGCAAATGAATTACTGCTACAAGTATTCCTACAAGTTGTAAACGAGTGGAATCTTTTAGCTGAATTTTTTGTGAAATAGTGATGGTGGCAAGCAGAGGTAGTAGACAAAATTAACAGCCTCTTGAGCATTTGGGGATTTTATTATGGAAAGAAAGAGAAGGAAAACGGGAGAAAATTTGACAAAGATGAATGACTATTGCCACGTGGCGGGTTATGCAGAATGCAACCTGTTGGGCCTTTACGTATCAAGGCGGTTAAGGATAAATAGATAAATAAGTAAATAACGTGAAAATAAATTTTAGCCCACGTTTGACTAACTCAAAAATCAGATCAAAATCAATAATTAATTATATTGAACACAACTTCGATTTTTCAATCACATATTCTACTATTTTTTATTAAAGTTTACTAAAAATTTAACTTTTATTTATACCAAGCTAAGGGCCTCTTCAATAGTAATTTTAAGAATTGATTTTTTGATTGTTAAAGAGAAAAGTTAATCCTACATGTAGTGAAGAAATAAAAAATGACAACTAAAATAGTGGAATAATAGTCAAAAAATTAATTTTTTAGATGAAAATTACTACCAAATGGAGGTTAAGTAATTTATTTATTTTGAGGTTGAAATTACTTAAATACCTTTATCTAATTATACGGAAAATTTCAAATGTTAAAAGCATATTAAAAAAAAAAAAAAGATGTAGCCCAATTTTGATGGCCCCTACTACTGTCCTGCCCCTAGAG